TAATTTATTAGTATTGTATCATATATTGTTTTGGGTATTAATGTACCAGATACAAGTTAGATATAATTGTGATCCAAGTATAATACAATTATGTTTAGGCATTAATGTATCTGATACAATTCAAATACAATTATGATATGGTTATCATACAATTTCTGAATATCTTCTAGTAATATAAAGCTCTCGGTAATGGTGAGAAAAAAGAAGATGGAGATTCTGGGCTTAGATTGAGGGATTTTGATGTAAAAAAAAAAAAGAGGAGGAGAAGGGGAAAAAAGAGGAAAGGATGTTATTGAATCCCTTAATTGAAGACATTAATAATGGGGTGTGAGCCTTTTAAGGAGCAATGTATACAATTCGTAAGAAAAAATTAGATATTTATTAAAAACTATAAAACATAGAAGGCAGCCCGGTGCAAAGGATATGCGCCTGTCGGGAGCTGCAAAACATAGAGAACATAAGTAAATAAGTTTCTAACATAGTATAGGTAAGTAAAAATCCCTTTCCTAATTGGAATGATGAGTCTTAATTAAGGATGTTAGTCACAATGATAGTCCAACAAGAAGCTATGGGCCAACCATTCAGTCTAGTCTAGTCCAACAAGACCCATCCAAACCTGTTAGCCCAACTCAGCAACCTACAGCTGACCAAAATGGTAGAAATAGCGCTCACTGGCCTAGCCACTTTTTGACCCTGTCTTTAAGAGATAGCCAATGTAATGGAATTTCAAATTCTATATGGAGTTTCACGTGAGAAATTTGAATATCTACGACAAAGGCTATTCTCAATTACAGAGACTGAAAAATGGTTATTTGTGAATTTTACTAACACTAAAAACTAAAGGGATCTTTACACAAATAGCCGGTCATATTCATTATTTACTTTTTTCCAGCCATATATATAGTTTATACATTGATTATACATAATTATACATATATAATACATAAATTATATATATATATTATACTTTCATCGACTATTTTTAGTTTAAGCGGTTGGGTGAGTGACTATTTGGGTTAATTCTTCAAAACTAAACCACCCAGTCTCGAATAATGGCTTGTGATAAAATTTCACCCATGGCCGGCTCTGCACCTTAGGCCCCCAAATTTGAGGGCCCACTTTTTTTTCGAAATAATAGGTTTATAGGTATTTAAAAAATAAGAAAAACTACCAATTATGTCCAATTATAAGTAGCTCATTGCCAAAATTGACTAATTTAGAAAATATTACTAATATTAGCCAATTAGCTATTTATAGCAAAACAATAAGGTCAAATCTTTGCTTTCTTTTGAGTGGGTATTATTAGAATAGATTGGGTACATCTTAAGGAGCTTGAATCTCAGGTTTGGGATGTTTTGGTGGAGTTTTGAGCTGATTTGAATTGAAAATTCGAACTAAAAAATGAACATGAAAAAATATAATGTGTATCACACTATGTATGTGTCACATGTGTATCATATTTGTATCAATTATGTATCACATGTATATCCATGTATATTTGTGTGTGAGATACATGCGTGATACATGTTTGATACATGTGTCGGAGAAGAATTTTTTGAACTCGATTTAATTACGAATTTTGATTCCAAACTAGTCCAAATCACTTCCAATCTTCCTCAAATTTTGTATATTGACTTATCTATATATTTTCAATAAATTTCAACTATACCCATTGAAAAAGGTCCCTTTTTGCCTAAATTTTTAGAATATTGTATATATATTTTTTTGTATTTTATCACCTTATTTGCTACCGCAACCATGAAATTTCCTTTTCGTCTTGCATCTAATGTTGCTAATCACGCTTAAAAATATGGAAGGAGATTTTTGCGTGTGATTCTTTGAGAGAAAGAACATTATTTATTTGGTTTTTCAATTTTTACATGTGTTTGGCTAGTTTTGGTAAGTATATGACTAATGACTAGAGGTTGGTAAGTTGAGACTTATTTGGTACATTTCTGTAAGTTTCCCAAAAAATAATTATAGTTAGTACTTTTAATACAAAAAAGTAAAAAATTTCATATAAAGAAAATAAATTTTTTATATAAATAAAGTAACCATTTGACTTACTGAAAGGTAGATGAATTATTTTTTCAACGTTTCAATTTATGTTGATTTGACAATTTAACTTGTTACTATTTTATTAGATAACGTGTACAATTTTATTTTTCTTCCTTAATTTGTCCAAGTTAATTTTTTTTCCCTAAACTCTTTATATTTCAGAATCCCTTATATTTTTTCTGTCTTTCTCTTTGATATTCTTATTCACCGTCTTTCTCCGATCCAAAATTTCATTACCCACCTTCTTTCTCTAAGATTTCATTAGTTCAAGTGTTCAACAGTCTTTTAAAAATTTAGGCCTCACATTAAACTTTGGGTTTAAGCTATGCTTGAGCCGCCCCTAATTTCACCATGAAGGACATTGAAGATGTTTATACCCTTACTTAGTGATAGGTTTATTAGTTTTCACAAATCAAAGAAGCTATCATTGACGAATCACATATAACAATGCTAAAATACAAGCCATCTTCAAGGAAGGTGTACCCTTTTAATCAGCGAGAAAACATTATGTAATATTAGCATTTTTAATTATAAATGCAATGTTACTTTTTACAATATAATGTACTATAGCTCAGAGGTGAATGATAATGAAGTTTCCTCTCTTTGTCCCAGGACCATTTCTTGTGACACTGAAAACTAGAGGTTCCTATTTTGCAATAACTATTTGTGGAGGGGACAATTCTTGTGACCCCAGACCATATATAGAGGTTACATATAAAAGTGAAACTCGTGAAATAATGAATGCGTGCCCTTTAACAATGAATAGTTAATATTTACACACACCACACATGCACGCATGCAGTATACATATCCCTACAAAATAGAGACTAATTCTATTCCTTGCCAAAAGGAATTTATGTTCTTATTCATACATTAGAAAAAATGTTGGCACAGAATTGAAAGCAGATAAGGCAGTTTTCTACTTTGCAGACAACATAGTGAGAGGCATGATTGTAATAATATCGATTTTCAATAAGAGAATTGGGTTGAAAACAAGATTAGAGACAAAGGAATTATAAGAAATGGTAAAATGTCATAGGTATAGCTAACCTTATAAAACAAAAATAAAAATGATACTAGGTAGCCATTTTAGAGGGTTGTTATTTAGAAATTAGCCACTTTATCCTGTATTTCAGTTTTCCAATTCAATTTTTCAGGACACAAAGTCCTAAAGTATTTTTAATTTAAATTTTCAGGATAAAATAAGTACCGACTTATTCCTAAATAACAGTCCTAAAAATGGTTAGCTATTTGTGTACTTCCCCCCATTGAAACCTACTTGCTACTATACAAGAGGCTTTCTTGCGTTAACGGAATTCAACAACAACAATAATAATAACAACAGAAGCGGGGCGAATTCAACAATTAATATATATATATNCCTCGCAGCTGGGTAGGGGGAGGGGAGGGAGGGTTATGGGGTACTAAGAATGAATTGATTTCTGCTTTAGCATGCCTTTTCTGGCCACTTTTGCAATAAAAAATTTGTACACAGAGTGTAAAAAGACTAGTCATTCTCATCATTACTCTCATCAAAGTGTCGACGTTAGTGCATGCCTAATGCACTTTGCTGGTCCATTAAGCTAAGCAAAACCTCAAACTTAGCTTTAAATTCATTTCTCATGCAACAAAATTTGAGAGCACTAAATCATGAAAGCGTCTCTACATGTATCTCATTACGCAATTGAATCTACAATTAGTATGTTATTGTAGTTTTTAAATCATTGTCCTCAATATTTTATACTTCATACGTTTGCGTACTCAATTCCAAATGCCAATTAACGGCTAATTACGTTTCTTCATCATTTCATTCCTTTTTTCTTTTTCTTTTTGTGAGCAGAAGTAGGAAAGACAAGTCAAGCAATAAAACTTAGGGTTTTTTTTCATAAATATCTGGTCAGTTTACTTTTCCTAGCCGGTATATATAAATTATACGTAGTTATACACATGTTATACATATATTATGAAATTATTTCATGCGTACCCAATAATTACACCAAGTAAAATGAATGCAAAACATTTACTTAACTATTACTTTTAGTGTAATTAAATGCCGAAAGTGAGTAAGTGTTTAGACATTTTACATTTAAATAGGCACTTGAGTAACAAGGAGGGAGCATAATTCTCAATACGTGGAGCAGAATATGCATAATGAGCTAATTAATACAGGGAGACTACATGATAAATATTCAAGTCCTTGTTCTATCGAAATAAAGGTCCGATTTAAACGACCAGATACAACATTATATTTAACACCTAAGGAAGATACAGTCCAACTATGAGGTACAATCATGTTAAAATTTATATAATGATCTTATTTTTTTCTTTTACTATTATCCTGCCAAGTAGCCATAATGAAGTGCCAAGTGGAGCATGCATGAAGTAGTCAGCTGCTTGTTCTATTCTTTTCCCTGGCGCAGCTGGGGACTTGAACCAGAGACCTCGCCCGTGAAGTAAATCATCGCACCTACGGTCCAACCAATTGGGAGAGAATCAATAGATTCCTTTTCGGGAGCGATTCATCCTTCCCGAACGCAGCATACAACTCTTAACACTAATTACGTTGATTAAAAAATAAGAAGAATCAACCAATAGACAAATGGAGTAAAACACTTTGAATAACTATTCGAAAGATTATTATTACTAGCTAATTAAGAAGAGGTGAATTTGAAGTTCGTGTAACCAAGTGCTTAAGCAAGACCTTTACTTTATTGCAGAAGTGCCTTTGTACATACTTATAATCATCTTCTTTATCTATGAACTAATTAATATGCATAAGATGTATTTGATGACTAATAATCCCATGGGAGTGATGGCAATTACTTTAATGGAGTTGTAGCCATTGATAGTATTCCTATCATTTGGTTCCCTCTTTTCTACAATATATTCAATTCTAAGCAACCTCCACTTCATTCATTTATTTCTACTTATAAAATCCCCTACCAAGTGCAAACATTCCCTCACTCAAACCAAAAACTGCTCCATTACCATATCAAGATTTCTACATATAAAACCAAGAAACAAAGCAAACAAATATTTAACATATACCAATGGCTTCTTGTCTCTTCTTTTTTGCTGTTTTATGCCTACCATTAATTGTTAAAGCTCAAGAAAGAGCTCCACATGGGCTTGCATATGAAAGTCCTGTAGCATTGTCACCAGATGCATACTCATTTTTCCACCCTGAAACTCAACAAAAGAAAAACAGTACTACTGAAAGTTTATGTGATAATAATACATCAGAATCAGGTTGTTCAGAATTACCTACAGCATCAAGTGTGCAGTCTAATTTAGCACATCAAAGTTTATCACCACCCGAGGATGGCGAAAGGCGAATAGGAGCTGGTGGGATTGTTGGAATCCTTCTTGGCTTTGTGTTTGCTACTATTGTTTTAGCATTTGGGGTTTATTATGTTGTGATTACACGAAAAAGCAACTCGAGCAAAGCTAATCCTGTTCAGCTAATTAATGTCTGATATACTCATCCATCTCCTACTGTTGCATCTCATTTTACATTTTTGGTTTTTGTTATCTTTCCTATTTATATGATTTGGGATGTGAGATGTAACTATTGCTGAATGAGTAGTTAGTGATATAATCGTACAATTATTTAGTGATTAGGAAGCCCTTGTGTTATATTATACCATGTCTCGATTTTTCATATATGAATGTAACTAATGTATCACATTTATGAAGGGTTACCATTCTCATTTATAAAGGGTTGCTATTATCACAGCAACAGCAGAGAGAAAACATTTAGTGATTCCAACACTGATATTTTAGGATTCCTGGTAATAAGAAGAAGAAACAGTTACAGACACAGAAGAAATTATGGATATTTTATTGACCAACACACGAGAAAACAAAACCACATACTATTTAGGTCCAGAGTCAATCAAATAAATAAAAAATGTTTCCTACATATGTGTGAATGATTACCAACAGAGGGATACTTAAAAAAACCAAAGCCATCTGTAGTTTATGTGGATTCTATCATTGGGCAGTGAGACACATTTTGAGCAAGTAAAATCCTTTTTTTTTTCCACCCGATGTCCAACACTGCTTTAGGACCTGGACCAATCCGATCCAAATTCATGCGGCCCATTAAATTAAAGGGGGAGTGCTCCCCCTATAAGGATTTTTTTCATTTTCAAGGCTCGAACCAGAAATTTTGATTAAGGGTAGAGGAATCATATTCATCTCATTACAAACCCTTGATGTTTAGCAAGTAAAATCTTGTTGTAAGGTATTTCATTATTCGTATATTGTACTACCAATACTCAGGCGTTTCGTATGTTTTTGTTACATAGGCAACATTAAGGTTGTCTAACTTGAGGTTTCCTTACACACTACTGCACCTGTTGAAATTTTGTGATTATCCCGACTAGTTTCTACCAGGTGCTTGAACCCCAACTTTACTGGAACACCAATTTAATAGTAGCTTTTTCTATCTCATTCAAACCAAGAAGCATTTCGGAATAGTCGTGACTCCTGCTTGTCTATCGCATTTATTTTTACTAAAAACAAAAAATCGTCCAGACTCTAACTAGCCCTTTACAAGTTTAAAGCACTCACCTAAACCAGTGAATCTACTATTTAACAACACGTTCATAATTAGTTGAACCACTAGAAGAATCTCCAATTATAGCTAATTGTATACAGTTAAGTCCCTTGCCTTGCTTACAACAAAATCCAACCTAATTAATTGCCCTTGCCACAGGGCATACTGCTTTATGTGTCCTAAAGGAAATATAGCACCTGTCTAAATAATGTAATGGTCAATCTCACAGAAGAAATCGACCAAATGTGTCATGCTTTTCCTCCCATCATCAGTATTATCATGGATGAGTATGGCATTCCTCCCTTCAACTGTTTAATAAAAGCAGCAGGCCCTGTAGTCTTATGACCTGATTTGATGAAATTGAAACAAGGATATAATTCAACTTCTGACTTAAAATAGGTACTTCCTGCCCCTCAAACTTTCTCAGTTAAAAGTTGGTAGATGGAAAATGAGGAGAAAAAAACAGGGTCAAGGATGGGGAGTTCGGGAAGTGTGATAACATGATGCTGAACCTTATTGTATGATACCATCTTACAACATCGACCAGGGTAAACTGTCGATAAAGTTTGTTCCACCAATTCTGGATCAACCAACATCACAGAAACAGAATGTACATTCTTTTGTGACCTTCGATCCATATATTCTGGAACAATAGCAGTCAAATTAAAAGCATGGATAAAGTTAGCAACTGCGGAACACCTAAGTTTTTACAACACAGTATTCATCACAGACCAAAATCAGGAAAGAAACATCAGCAACATGATAGTATGTAAGTGCAAGAACTGCAATTGGTACCAACTCCCCTTTTCAACGAGTCAAAGCAAAAAGATACAATGGAAGATGCACCGGCATGTGTGCTTCTACGAATCTTACAAATAAAAAAGATACAATTTCAAGATCTGCTGAAATCACACACATTTTACCACCCACGTGAGCCGAGAGACTTGATGACAGGTCCTAATGCCTGATCCACAGCTTTGTTCCATAGGTGTGCAAACTCTATACCAGACTTCTGTTTCGGGATGTGCTCTATTGTCTGAAAATATTCAAATAGATTAAAAATATGGTTAGAAAGAGACAGAATGATGAGTTGATTTTGTTTATCATTAAATGAAAACCTCAAATCTTGCTTTGAAATTTCATATGTATTGTACATGTATATCACAGTTGCGGTCATGATAATCAAAGGACAAGGCTATTTAAAAATATTATATAAATAGCATATTCTCATTAAGCAAAACATACACTGCGAACAATAACATCTTGTCCGTCACCAGCTTTACATCTAATAAATGGCACTGTGAAAATAAAGAAAAATATCAAGAGTACTGACAGGTGGTGAAAATGACCATCACATTGAAACACAATACATGGTCAAACTTATGACTTGAATAAGAAGATAAGAAAAATATAGAATATTTCAGGGTTTGCTTTTTCTTTGAGTGGCTAGTCTGGAGGCATTTATTGAGACTGTTCTATTAATTATTTATGTAGATTCACGATCAGAAATTCACTTATCTACGTACCAATGAACATCAAACCACCAGCAGGGAATATTTTCAGCAAATTGGTTAAACTACGCAGAAACTCCCAGCAATAATTGGCTAGATAAGCCCACGTTGCTTGACAGAATATTTCATTTTTTTATTATTGATAAAATAGGCATATTTAGTTGAAATCAACTTAAAGCTGCTTTATGACTTCCCTAAGAAGGTCTTTTAGTTCCACTTTATGGTTCTTCACAAATACCGACACACAATTTTCGTAATTTACTCCACTAGTAATTTTATACTCAATAAAGGTCACAAAGCAAAGCAAGTTCTTTCTCTCGATTCTATGACCTAATTATACGTCAATACACGAGACTTTTAGACATACTTGCAGTAAGTTATACTTCCCTTAGCCCCAGCCCGAACCGGCCGATGATTGTACATGTGACCGTGACTAATCACTTTGTTTTTCTATTAGGTACCTTTGGCGCCACGGTTCTAAGAAGAACTAGCAAAACACAATAACAACCATCTTCATGAGCATTAATATCTTTCTTCTTCACAAAAAGGGTATGGACAATTGAACACCACAGGCAAAAGCTTCTAACATAGCCAAGCGATTGCCATTGAAAATCCTTACAATTATGAAATTTCAGGCCTATAATGTTTACTAGCAGATAAGTCTGGAGCAATCCCAAAATCTGTACTTACTGTTTGGAAGGGCTTAACATTCTTTATATGGAATAGTATTCTATGTATTATACTAGTTATAGGGATTCATACTCGCTACACAAATAAGCATTTAATCATAATGTGGTTTTTTCATCCGTAGTCACAATGTGATTGATTCATGTGAAATCAACATCACGCATGAACCCAAAAATAACTGCCATTGTTTTTCCACAGCTGCATCAATGCATATGTCGAGAACTACTTACTCATCTATAAATATAAGATGGAGAACAAATGGAAACGATAAATTTGTAGCACAAAAAGCAACTTTTGATGTAAGGATTTTACATACATGTAGGTATATGGGTGCACTTGAGCGTGACGTTCGAACAATTTGTTAATTTGGATCCCTTAAAGGAGAGTTATTGCTTAAGTATGGTTTGTCATGCATGGGTAATATATGCATATCTTATACTTTGTAGCTCATACTGCTGGTATATCTTTGAACCATAGACTGCTTGCACAAACATACACACTTGGCCAAAGAATACATAACAAATTTCAAAATTTCAGAAAATGATAGGGTCAAATTTGAATAACTGCTCTCAAATTTTCGTACCATTTTCTCAACCCTATATAAAGTATATGCAGTTAGTAGCTAATTCTTTCCCAACAAAATAAAGGTCATGTGAAGAAGTTAATAACATGCTTCTTGGTGCTATGGAAATGTCTTAAATGTGATCATTAGGCAGTCCGTTGAGTGCCAACTAAAGGACAATTTACTCGTTCTATATTACTAAAAGAGTGTAATTATATGCACTCACTATGTAAAAAATATTTACACAATCAGGTCTCTCTTGATAAGTATTATTAGTAAGTTGAATATCTGATATAAAGAGTAATTAACATGTTATCACAAGTTAAAATTTATTAATGGTGTACAAAAATTAAACAATGTCCAAGTATATAACTTAAATCCTATTACTAAACATAAACGCACAAGCACATGCACACACATATGTTAATATATTTCAATACACACACACATAGAAATTTAATATGAGCTGGTAACATCTAATTCGGAAATCAACATCAGGCCTAGCTATCGGAAAAAACTCATAGATGATAGAACAAAGTGAAAATCACAAAATTCAAGGGGCGAATAAAGCGCTTGGGCAAAGGAAAAATCTCTTCAATCAGAATTGAGAGTTGAGACAGGGAGGAGAGGTCAAAGCGATTGAAACCTACCTGAGATTGAGGGGAAAATCGGGATTGATTCTCGGAGATGCTCTTATAAATTCTTTTACGTTGTTCCAAAACCACAACACCTGTCAACATGCTACCTAAAGCAGCGCCGAGAAGACGCTCCTGCAAGTTTGCATAATCAAAATTCCAGACGTTCATTTACAAACATACGCGTTGAAGAATCAAACGATTTCATTTGATACTGAACAATCAAAATGTAAAGTAGAAAGGCAATAATCTATAACTGACCTGAGTAAGGATGCTGATCATCCTTGCAATTGAATTTCCGCGCAGACCAAGCTTTGAATTTTGAGACGCCTCTCTCCGATTTGTTGAAAGATTGGCTTTGTTCTCTTACCGAAAAGAACCGACCCGTCCCTGAAATATGGGCTTAATGGGCCTGAAGGAGTAAAAATGACACCAGGTAGCCACTTAGTATTTAGGAATTAGCTATAGAGTCTTGAATTTCAGTTTTCTTGTCTAATTTTTTAGGACAAAAATATCTTGAATTATCCTAAAATTAAGTTTTTTGATTTAAATTTTTAAATAAAATAAATACTAATCTATATTATTATAAAAGCATAAATATAATATCGGTTTACAAAAATAGCCTTATAATATTAAGCATAATAACTCATAATAAAAGGACATAACCGAAATTCTAGATATTAGCCTTATAATCCTATTAGTTTTAGGACATACAGCACATTAGAATCTTACATGATTATCTTTAGGAATTCTATTAGTATAATTACTTTCCGATTGTCTAATTCATATAAAATTGAACAAGTAAATATATTTAGTCATGTAATCCTATTACTTTTAGGATATACTTCTTAAAAATTACTATTAATAATTTAATTTAAAAACGTATTATAATGTCTTATTACTAATTTAATTTGAGAATGTATTATATTGTCCAAATTCATTTAGAAAAATGAGAGCCTATATTATTATAAAAATATAAATACAATATTAATATACCAGAATAGCCCAAAAATGTTAAACGGGAGAACTCATAGGGAAAGGGCATAGCTGCAATAACTTATTTTTTGGACTACAATACCTTCTATTCTAATTTTTAATATTTAATATATTAAAACTAATAAAATTTGTCTATTAAATTCTTATTAAAAATATGTAGGAAGGTTTAATAAAGTCAATTTCATCAAAATCCTTTGTATTGGCAATACGTTATCACTCCATAATGTCCAACACCAACAAAAAAAACAGTAATATTAAATGGACATAGAATAAATTATTTTTTTATGTTAAAATCAAATAATTAAATCTTTTAATTAATTATTTAGCAAGAGAATCCAATTCAATTATTTTTTTAAAATTCATCACATGAGTAAAATTCTTATTCAAGTAAAAAAAATCTTAGGGTACATAAATTTATTCCATAACACAAAGTAAAAAGGTTAATATATTATTAAGAATCAAAATGCTATACAAGTATTTGAGGAAGCACAATCAAAGCTAAATATTAAACAAGAACAAGCTTTTAAGACTATATTATAAAAAGTCGACTCTACTATAACAGAATTATTCTTTGTAGATGCCTCCGGCAGAATCAAAATAATATTTCTATGTCATGCATTACTTGTTAATATCATATCAAGAGGCATGACATTGTTAACAATAATAGCAAGTGGTGTACCAACAACAATTTTATTGTGAGGCCACCCACTTTAGATTTGATATACCTCTTCAAACAACTTAAATAATCATTATAAATATATCAAAGCAGAGCAATGGTGCTAAATTTATAAAGAAAGAAAAATTGATAATATGGGGATGAAGCACTTATGGCTAAGTGTCAAACAGAGTTCTAGAGATATATTGGATATTAATGAACCGTTTGGTAAAAAATTAATGGTTTGGGAGGTAATTTATGTCAAATACTACCAGTAGTTCCAAAATCGAAAAAGCAGAGACTGTAAAAGGTAGCTTGTCAAAGTTATACTTTTGACCTCAAATGAAAAAGACTCAACTGACAAGAAATATAAAGTAAGAACAGATCCAGTATTCAGTGTCTTCTTGCTTTGTGTCGGAAACGAATAAGAACATCCAATAAAAGATGATTTAGTTCTTCCTGAACACTTTGTTATCAATCCCAATGGTAATAGTAGTGCATTTAATAAGAGAAATATTTTTATCATTAGATTAAAACGCAATTTGTGCAAATCGCATGATAAAATTAAAAAAATATCTTAGCTAGCAGAAATGAATATGTTGATCAACAAAATAAAAGGTTGATTGCAAAATTTTATAGTAAGACCAAAATTTTTTCTGTTTTTGACTCAGCAGAAAATGATACCAATAATTACTACAAGGAAGAATATTTAAATACTTTAATACCAAACGGCCTTCTACCATATATGTTTGTTGTCAAGTTTATTATTTCCTACGTATGTTAGTGTCACCATATATATAATAGACTAAGTTGATCTTCCATTGTATATGGGTTGATTTTGAAGAAAAATATGCCCGTCATGCTACTGAAAAACTTAAATATGCCGAATAGTTTATGTAATATCACACATATGATATATAGAAGTTTTGACAATAATGTCATACATGCAAAAATTATGACACCGGTCAATATGCTTCTAAGTATATTCTTATCCCTGAATTCAACTTTTGTCTTCCGAAATTAAGGAATATACTTTTAAATTTATGTGAAAATATTTTTTAGTATGTTTATGTTTTGCAAATATAATAAATAGAGCACAAGGACAAACATCCTAAATATTGGATATATTTACCGCAATATGTTTTCTTGCACGAACAACTGTATGTTGCACTTTCAAGAGGGATATCAAGATCGACAACAAGAGTTCTGGTTAAGGCAAAGCAGCAAAGCATTAGGATCAAACATACACAAAACAATATTGCCCACAAAGAAGTGTTAGTTAAGATACCATCACATTAAATACTTTTAAACTATAATACATCATTATCTAACTAACATGACAAAATTGATCATTTGTGTAAGTTTTGATGATGTCCTTTTTATTTTAAATTCATGTATTATGCTAATGTAATAATATTTTTCGGCATTTAGATGATTGTTGTATTATTATACATAAAATTTCTCTTATTAATTAAATTTTATTGTTCATTCATATAAATTAATATTTAAATCATCACGTATCATTATTAACTGCAATGCACGTTCATAAATACTAGTCGTCCTTAAATAAGCGTCCTACGAATGACTATTTATGTACTTCTCCGCGAAGGAAATGCAGCATGGGCAACATAACATATTACACGTTGGTCAAATCAGAAACATTTGGAGGCCCATGATTTAGATTTCAAATAGCAATACAAGTTCAACATAGAGAGAGACTCATATCCACTTTATTTGTCCTCATTTTATTTTGATTTTTTTTTTAAATTAACTTATATAGTCGGTTTATTTTGAATTTCTTGGAATTTAGCTTATATGCATAGATAATGTTAAGCTATCAAGTTACCGGAAATTAATTACAAGTAATTATTAACAATAAGAATTAATCGATAGCATGTAAATAAGAAAAGTAATTTACCATAACTATTCAAATAACGGCGGTAAAGAATATATATATNGAGTTAGAATAGACAAGTAAAGATACAATAAATTCAAACCACGCGAGGAGGAGGATTCCAGCCTTATTGAAACATTCACCCTCGATCCGGGCTCACAGTGGACAATATTGATGAACGAGAGAAAAAGTTTACAATAGCAGTGAAAATAATAGTATATTACTTTGGAATGCGTGTTACAATGTGTCTAATGAATTATCAGACCCCCTTAAATAGTAGGGGAATCCTACTCTAAGTACAACTCTATAAAAGGTAAAAAGTCATATGTTTAACTGATTGTCGGTTATTCATCGATACGTGTCGAGATCCACACCGTGATATCCGGCCGGTGGCGGATATTACTGTCTTTTGTTGGTTGTGCTTGATTGCCCGACAATGTTCTCCGAAGTCTTTTAGGATTTGGATTGATCTCGAATCATGACCCCGATATTCTCGAGGGCAGGCAACGTGCCCCCAGATTCTGACTCGATGAGACCTTTGTTTCGATTCTGATCCTTCGCAATCATATCTCGAGCTTGTTTTACCCTATTAGAGACCAGAGTATATCATGAGCTCAGTTTTTATCCGTATACAGATAGTCCTCTCGTTTCTCGGAGATCAAGCTGACGAGAAACGATATGAGCACCCCGATTCCTTCTTCAATACGCCGTGACATAAATGACAAAAAGCCCGAAAACGTCTCGTCAGTCATGTCATAATGGCCTTAAATGCACGTAAGCCGCCGGTTGGCTGTCCCTAGAGGCGAAACATCGCGGAACCCCTATAAATAACCCCTCTTTTGTTCATTTTTTATTTTACATCAAACCGTCTACCCTCGTACCCTCAGAATTTCATTTCTCTTTTTCACAATCTAGTTTTTTTTACCTCCGTAACTCGAGATTCCTTTGCAAAATTTTTACTCATCATCTACTCAAGCCAACACATCTAAGCTTCCTTCTTTAAACCTTTCTCTATCTCCTTCAAGCTTTCCCCCATAACAATGGCAAAAACCTCAAAATCTACTCCCTAAAAGGTTGCTTCTACTTCCCAAACGACTGCCGGAACCAACGAAACCACTTCCGATGTGGTCGACCTCGGGAGATCCGCTGCTAACGTGGTTACGGATGAACCGACTCTTGAATCTCCCTTGAAGATGTTCATTCTAGGGGGTTGTTCGGTCGCTGACGACTTCAAGGTCGAGAAGCCATCTTCGGTGCAGGGTCGGTGTGAGGAGGCATCCAGATATATTTGCTCGATCACCAAATATGATCCCCCCCTTAGTCTGAAAGGAATGCAATTGGGACGAAAAGGACATAGTGGTCCCCGACTCTGAGGAGGCCATTACTATACATATTGAGGGATACCTAAGTGTCTACACTTATCCCTTTACGCTGGGCCCGGTGGATCCGGTGATCAAAGACTTCTGTAAAAGGTACGAGGTATGTTTCGGCCAGATCCACCCATCGTTATGGAGTATCGTAATCCTCCTTCAATTTTTCGTGAACAAGATCGACTCCTATCAGTTCACTGTATACCATCTGCTCCATTTGTACAGTCCCCGAATCTTCTGAGGGGGACTGATATAGCTCGTGCGCCGGGCTAGTAAGGCCCCATTCTCAAGCATCGATGAAGATCGGAACCGAGGTTGGCAAGGACGTTTTGCCCGGGTGAGGACCTCAGACTTGATTTTGGCTGAATCTAGGCCATTCCCCGATAAGTGAAATATGTCACGTAAGTACAACTTCTCTTTGAATTTTGATTTCATGCTCATCTCCCTTTTTCCTCATTGGTGTTT